GAACAAGCGCTGTGTGCGTTGTGATAAATATGTTCAAAGGTTTGGGCCAGACTTTCTGCTTTTTTCTGGTTTGAAAAGCAGATTGTGTTGTTAGATGTATTTTATAGGGCTAGTATGCGGGTTTTCGGCTCTACTTGTTAGCTCGTACGTCTGCCAAAGTGTATGGTCAGTGCACTTGATTTTCCTGAGTTTATCTTGCCATGTTTGGTTTTTTTGAGTTCTACTATTTTTTTTTGTGTGTCGGTAGTTAGCATGTTTCTAGTTAACTTGTGTGGAGAGTTTTTTGTAATTCCGTCTTTGTTTGTTTCTCTCTTTTATGAGGTTGTGAAGTGTAGCGGGTTGGTGATTGAGTTTATGTTTTGGTCGTTACCGGTCGGGTGGCGATGCGATATGAATTGTGGATTAGTTGACAGAGATTTTTGATTTCTGTATCTATTGTTGCTATGATGCAAAGGTTATGGTTTATTTTTCTTGCTGCAGAGTTTTGCATAGGTGATTATAGGTGATCCAGTCTGTTACTTACTGTATTGTTTACCTGTCAGTTTGAAATTTTATGCATTTGGAGCGTAAGTTCAATTAGGAGATGATTCGAGAAGAGGTTATTCTAAGGTGTGGCAGTTGTGAAGGTAGGGGACGTTGATAAGGAAGATGTCTATGTTTGATGGAGCGCACTTAGGCTGTTTGTACGTATATATTGGGCTATGGATGTGAAGGGCTGAAAAGTGTTTATGACGATGCGAGGATGAAGTAGGAAGTGGTGGTAATGTGAGGAAATGCGTTTCGTCTCAGAGTCGCTGCCTAGACTCATCAGTGGGGCTGATGGCAGCGATCCCTTACCTCAGACGCTTGTTTTTTCTAACTACTCGCTAGGCTGGACGGTCCACCCATCCTAGCGGTGTTCCGCACTCTGTTTTGCTTAACATCGAATATCGTTTAGACTTCAACGCTAGGCGCACAGCCACTTGCGGCTTGTACGAGTGGGTGTTCGAAACTCGTACTCGAGGGACTCTAGGCCGCTACAGATGTGATGTTGGTTTGGTTGGATCTTGTGTGATGCGGGAATCTGTGTAAGTGTCTTTTTTGTTAGTGTCAATCTTATGGAATTCTATGTCTTGATCACTATCAAAACGAAAATACTGTATCTATTTCCTATTTGGATTTTTGGATTTACAATCTCCATACCGTGTGTTTTCGTTTTTATCTGTTATAGTGCAATTAGAGAGTGAGAAGGATCTCCTCTTAGTTGTGTTGCTTCAGGTGTTTTCTTCAATGGCCTTTCTTTTGACGTTGTCCATGGAATTTTTTTGTCTAGGGAGTCGTTCCGATGTTACTGGTTAGAATATTTGCTAGTCCTCTGCCCCTTTGGGTACAGGGGCTTATATGAGTTCGTTGTTTAGCTTTCCACACCTTTTCACTTATCATTTTGGACTCGCGGATATTGGGTTTATTAATGTGATTCTGTTCCCTCAAGCTGGAGAGAAGTGTTCGGATATCTGCTATGGTATCGTCAATGAGTCGAAGTGGAATATACTATCCAATCTGCTCTACCGTGCTTTGACTACAGAGCGAACTAAGAGTTGATGAGAGAGCAACACTCGCGACAGTCACGACGCATTAAAATCAGTTCTTATATAGGTCAGTTTTCTTTGTGTTTACGTAATCACGTGATCGAGACGGTAAAGACGGTTTGTAACTATTGGCAAAATTAGTCCCATAAAGTAATTTTGGCAGTTACTTTATAGATCTAACGGTACTGTATCCTGGGTTGGGTTCCTCACATAATACGTTTAATAGTCTTGACATTAAGACCAAGGGCAGAGGAACGTATCTTCTACATATATAAACAAATTTAATTAATTAAAAAAGAGTGATAGTTAGAAAAAATAGTGATGGAAGAATGGGAAAATTGTTATTGAGAAGAGAGGAATTAAAAGAAGATGGGTGAGGAGACGGGAAGAGAGTACAGAGCGAATAGGAGAAGAGGAACAAAACCAATTGGAAATGAAAGAAATAGCGAAACAAACAAACAAGTTGAAAGAAAGAAAAAAAGATAATGGGGAAAAAATAATAAAAAACAAAGCATAGATATACAGTAGAGTAAAAATAGGAATGATATTAGTGAAAATAATGGAAACAATATATAAGAAGAAGGGGTTACTTAAAGATTGGAAACAAGGGATATCTAAGCATTCATATTTAAAAAAGATGAAAAATTGATATTAAAAAAAAAAGGTAACGGATAGATATATCATTGGAATGGATATATCATATTGAGGAGCACGATATATAAAATATAAGTTGCTATAATCAATGAAAGGTTGGTGACGCGAAGTAATGAAATAATTTTGAATAATTTAAAAATAGTTTCATATATTATGAAACATGTAATTAAAAAAAATTAGGATAAAAAGATTCTGCGATTTTTGTGTGTCCAACTGATTTATCAGTGAACTATAGTCATATTCTAAACGCAACATCGATTTATTTTATAAGCAACATATAAATACTCTATGCTAAATTTTATTTATTTTTATTATGTGCTTATTCGTATATGTATTATTATTATATGCTTAGATGACTGGATGATAGGTGCATACTCAAAAATAGGCCACATAAGAACATGATATAAATATAGTACAGTTTGTGAATCTTTAAAATCTACAGAATTCCTAAAAATTTGGCTTTTTTTAGTCACAATATTATTTATCACATAATGATAAAGTTGAGATTACTTATGTGAGTACCACATAATGAAAGTTGAGATTACATAGCATCGAGGTCACGAATATATGAATACGAATAAGTATAAGTTGCCGTTCATCCAAAATATGGAAGTGTATCCTAGAAAAACTTGAGACATTGTATTAAATTCCATCCCATTTTGAATCGAATAATCTATCTAAGTTTGGTTTGTCAGTCCGCAATTGATTGTATGATAATAAGATCTTAAGATTATCTACAAACAGTAGAAATAGTGATAAGATGATTAATAAAGAAGTAAATAAATAAATTAGCCTCCTATTTTAATTTTTTAATTTTTTAAGAATGATTTGTAATATAAAAGAAAAACCAGTATAAAAGCTAGTAACGCTAAAACAAATGCTAGCAAGCTTTTTGATTAAAAACAAACGGTCAAGTGTTTTTCTAAAATCTAGGTAGATTGTATCAATTTAAAGATTTTTGTTGTGTTACAAAAATGATACTAGTAAATACATATTGCTACATTGATAAAGATAGATCGTCCCGCCAGGAAAACATGTTTTTCATTCGAGACATATTGTAACAGTGTTGTATCAATTCTTTTGATCATGATCCTTTTAAATAATTTAGTCATGACATCGGTCTATAGTTTACTATATTAGAAGATTCTCTATTTTTAAAAATAAGCATTACAGTACTAATTTTCTATATTTTAAAAAAATAACTCATTGATTGATGATCTATTAAAAATGAAATATAGCGGCTTAGATGTAATAAATCGGTAAGATGTAAGCTTAAAGAAGATAGATTTCTTTTTCTAGAAATTAAATTTCTTTTTTAGAAATTAAATACGTTGCACAAATGTTAACAAAATTTTTTTAATTAAATTTTTGTTCTGTGAACAGTGTATCCCATTGATGAATATTCTGATAATACACAATATGTTCATTTAAAAGATTCCAAACCAAATATCTTGAAAACAACGCTTTTCCGGAAAAAAATGTTTAATACAAATCAGAGTTTCGAAATGGAAGGACAACTATCATACTTGTTTTTTATTTCTTAGGTATCTTTAAGATTATTTGAAGATCAATTTTCTTTTTTTAAATAGACAGGTATACATATTTTTTTTAATGTTTTTATTCTGTGATTAAACAGAAACTTTTATATGGAATATTTTTTTTTATAGAATTTTCTTTTAAAAAAATATTTGATAAAATAGAAATATACAAATATCAATTTTCTACATTAAGATATTAAATAATACGAACAAAATTTTTTTAATTATTTTTAAAATGGTGAAATAAAATCAATAGCAATTGTACTTTTTACGTTATTTTTTATTACATATAATTAATCATTAATTTATCATATATAATTCAACACAATCGTCAGAAGTTCAATGATATCTCTGTTTAAATTCTATTTTTATTTTTTTGCTTAATGAACAGTAAAGCCCGATGCAGATGAGGTTTGAGATAAATTGCCACAGCGGCATTGTGTTGGAAAAACAAAAATATAAAGTTCGTGGAACAAAAAAAATGTTGTATCTGTGTTCTTCCAAAACGTTGCTCTTGCGATTGAATCTAAATAATCGAATGACAACTGTTCGGGTCAATTCTTAGTCTTATTTTCGTTACGAGCGATTGAGAATAAATTACGCATTCAGATACAGTTAAATAGCATTAAAAGCATGTGGTGACCTTGAATAGCAAAGGCAGGTTGCACAAAAGGATATTTAGGATTATGTTAGAGCAAAGATTTGGATTTGAATTTAGTTCAAAAATATTTTAATTCATCACCGTAACTCTTAAATATGAAAAAATATATTTGAGACAGTTACGGTCAATGAGTTATATTTTATATTTAAAGCATTTGAACATTTTTTAATTCTTTTTATGATTTTGAATTTAATTACATAATTCTTACTAAAAATTTTTTGAACTTCAATTCATATATTTCATTCATCATATTTCTGATATTTTATATATGTGGAACGTGAGTTATCTTTATTAATTAAGGTAAATATTTTATATTGATAATTTTTTATTGTTAATATTTATGTTAAATTTCTTTAACTAGAGGGTGGTGGTTGAAGAATGATATTTTATATACATATATATATCAAAATCAAATATTCTTATACATTCTGCACTGATGCATTGCTAGTGTACTAGGTATTAACAAGAATGTACAAATTTTAAGATATTTAATTGTATTGTTGTATTGAAAATACTCTTGTATAGATTTATAGAAATACTCTTCTATAGATGTAATCCCAATTTAAAGTAACGTTAAACGTAAACTTCCTTACTACGTAAAATGACTATTTATTTTCGCGTTATATAAGGCTACCTGAGTCTTTTGTTTATCCAATGAGAGTTTAGTACTATAATATTAGATGCCGATTAGTTGACGCTGACACTGAGAAAATTGATAAAAGCCACATTTGCCATACATTGTTATCATTCTCGTTCACGAAAGCATTCAACTGAGATCAGCAGTTAAAATTGTGCTCCAATATTTGAAAATGGCAAAAACGATACAGATTAGTGTTGAAACTAGAAGTGCTATTATCACATTTAAAAAAGAAGGTCATTCTTTGCGAAATATTACAAAAAAATTGAAGATATCATACAAGGGAGTTCAGAGTACGTTTTGAGAGTTCTGGCTGTTTAAAAGATTACAACTACAATCAGAAAGACCTAGGATAACGTCGAAGGCTGAAGATATTAGAATTAGATAGATTATATGCAAACTTAACAGATCTCATAACAGATTATATGCAAATTTAACAGACCTCATAACAGGCATCATAAATTCGTGCAGATCTTAATCATAGTAGATCGACTCCAGTATCTCTGACCATAGTGAAAAGACGACTAAGAATCGGTGGTTTAAACGGCTGCATAGCTGTCAGAAAACCATTACTTTCATCAAAAAATTGCAAAATGCGGTTGGATTGGGAAAAAAGTCACAAAAATTGGACATTGAGGACATTTGAGAGTCCTTTGGACTGAGTCATTTGTTGTCGATCTGTAGAACAAAAAATGTTGGCAGAATTTATTGTACCGACTGTCAAACATGATGAAGGCTCAGTTATGATGTGGGGATGTTTCTCAACCGTTGGAGTAGGAAAACTGATAAAAGTAGAGAATACAATGAGGAAGGAGGACTATAAGCAGATACTTGAGCAACATGCCATACCACCAAGTTGCCATTTAATAGGTCGAAATTTTTATTATGCAGCAAGATAAGGACCTTAAGCACTCATGTAAATTGTGTAAAGGGTTCTTGTTGCAAAAAGAAACACAGGGGATTTTGAAGAACATGAGATGGCCATCACAGTCACCAGATTTGTAGCCAATTAAGCTTTTATGGGAAGAGATCGATAGGAATATCCGATTCCACTATCTAACATCGAAGGAACACCTTTGGCAAATATTACAAGAAGCGCAGAAGAATATAAAATCAGAAACAATTAAAAAACTCATTGCCAGGATGCCTAGAATGTGTCAGGCAGTCATTAGAAGCAATTTTTCAATGAAAAGGCGATTTAAGAAAAATACCTATTTCTTTGTGAAAAAAAAACGAAAGAAAATGTAAAAATTGTTGTCTACTAGATGTTTTGATAAATAAAATATCTTCAGTTCCTATAAAAATGTGTAACTTTCCTTTAATATATCTAGTTTTCCTTAAAACTCGCAGTGATTCCAAACTTTTGGCCGGTAGTGCATATATATATATATCAAAAGAGACAAAATATCAAAGAGACATCCAAAAATGTTTTATAACATTGAAAAGTGTGCAAGAGTACATGATTGAAAGAAAATATAATTTAATATAATGTATTAAATTATATTATATTTATTAAAAATAATTTTCGATATTAACGTTTCTGTTGATACCTAAATTTCTAAAGTCAAAGACATCTGAAGGTCATAATGTAGTAGGTCGTTGAATTCGTTTTTTTAGAAACAACAATCCCGCGAAGTTAAAAATACACGGTGCCATTTAAAAAAATCAATGTGACCTTAATTTTTTATCGAAAAAAAAGTTTTTGAAATTTTTTATATTGTACTTTGTAGCCAACTAGAAACTGATTAATTTTTGTTCAAAATATATTTTTTGTCACACAATCAGAAGTGCCTGAAAAATCGTGGTGACAGTTGCCATACTCTCTGTGTGTGTTTACACACGCACGCACGCACGTATTTTAATCGTGATTGCTTTTTAATCTTTTCTATTGTTGCGATGTGGCCCTTAATTTTTAAATTAAGTACCACATCTCGATCCTTAATTTAAAATGAGAGATTTAAAATGAAGAGATTTTCGAAAAATTTACATTCTTTTATATCTATTTAAATTACGCTTGCAATTTTTTATAGCTTGTGGAGATAATTTATTTATTACTGTGGATTAATTTTCATAATATTTGCTATCAAATGAATAATTCTTATATGTAGCAGAATTACTTCATCACTTTCAGTTTTTGAAAAAAATGTATTTTTGTAATAAAGTATAATTTTTGTCAAACATAATGCATCACGTGAAAACTAAAAATATTAGAAGTTACAGCTTAAGTTTCAGTCTTAAATAATAGAAACGACTTTCCTGAATACAGCAGTGTATACAACTCTAAATAGTTGTAAATTGACACCAAAATGTAAGAGCACGAATTTTCTATGTATTATTATTTTTATAATTGTACGAAAGTTGTAATCTTGTAATCTTATGAAAATAATACAGTTAAAGAATATAGTATCAGATTTCTGAGCAAGAAATATATCATGCAAAATACGATTTAGAATACATGAAAACAAATGCTGCAAACGTATCTATAGTATTTAATCACCATTTTTTTGCATTTAAAAAATCATTAACAATTCAGTCTACAAAAATATATATATCGGATAAATGGTTTTAATTTATAAACGTGAGTTACAGATAAACTATCTATTATAAAAAGATGGTTCAAACAAGTATTGGATGATTTCGAGGAGCCTTTCGTTACCGTGGACAAGATCTCGCCACAACTATATTGTTTGTATAATACTACCGACGAGATATCTCACTTCATAATATCGTTGTTATTGTTTTATTAACAAATTATTTCAGTTTACAATTTTTTTTACGATGTCACTGATGAGATATTTCGCACCGTAGTAGTGTTTTGTCTCTTGTCTAATGGCTTCTATCAATGAAGGAGACATCTCATGTACTATCAATAATACAAGTACTACTAATATTTGCGCCTTTTCTTCAATGTTTTCAATTGATTCTAATAAAAGACATACGAGATAATTCATCGATGGCTTCATAAAAGCGAAATTATAAACCTAGATAACTCGGCAATGGTATTGTAAAAGAGATGAAGAGAGATATCTAGTCGGTATTACATAACCAACATAGTTGTGGTGAGATATTTTATCCATGTATTAAATTTAAAGACTAAAATTAAAGTTAAAATATCTTTTAATAATGTTTTGACATATATAATTTTTTTTGCATTATATTCTATTCATCATGAAGATAAAATTTTTTCAAGAAATCATAGGTTGCAACCTAATAGTTCTCTTGAAAAATAGCAAAAAAGATTTTTAACCATTTAACATTGCGGACGCGTGTATACTAACAGAGACTTTATAGTTCTGGATTAAGTTTCACTAACACATTGGATTTTTTTGGAATATTTAAAAGTATATGACGACTAGTTTTAACAAGGCACTTTATTCTTCAAGACAATACAGTATATGATAATAGCACGTTAAAGCTTACGAACACGAAAAGGAATGAATTCCGACCGTTAAGGACAGATATATAAATACGCCAAATATCTTAGTGACGAAGTTATCACTACAATTAATAGATGTCGTGATTAGTATCACATTTTAACAGATTTATTATAGTTGTGGTATCAGTGTGAGTCTAATTGTAAATAATCAAATAAATAATAAAACTAACTGTTAATATTATTCGAAATATAAACATTACATCCAAACATACCATCCGTGCAACTATAAAATCGCTTTTAGAACGCACGCGTCCGCGTAATTAAAAAATTTTTAAGTCCAAAGTCATTTGAAGGTCATATCGTAAACATATCTGAATGTATTTTTTCATGAGCTACGTGATGGAAAGAAATATATATTTCTTACATAAAAAATGTTAATGATCTTGAAAAACATTAAAAAAAATTTTTTTAGAAAAAATACTTCTTCCAATTCGTCTCTTCAACTAGTTTGTATGCCAGGAATGATTTTCGTATTATCACTAATAAAGAAGGTGGCCTAGTGAAACATCTTGTGCATTTTACATAATTAGGAAAACAATTAGGAAAACTTGAAATTTTTTAAAATGTTTTGTCAGTTTCAAAGAATTCAAAAGTATTCAACATATTTAATTACTAAACATATTCTATAAAAATGAAAAACACAAATCATTTGCCAAAAGCATATATTTCAAAATATACACTGATTTTTTAAAATAAATTTTACGATTAAGTAATAATACAATTTGATATATCTGGTTGTATTGGTGGATGTCAGATCATAAACTATGTTTTATCTATGTATTTTATCTATATATTAACATATAAAAACAAAAATATTTATGCAATCGATCTTATACTTTGAATTTTCGATTTCTATGACTGAAATATTTTGAGTTGATGGAATTATTAGTCAGTCATAAATTATTGACATGCGGTAATAAATACGAATCTGACTCTCTCTAATTGTAAGATCAATGATTATTATCTAATTAATTAAAGAATTAGAAGACGTTATTATGTAATTGTGCCTTATTTGCCTATTTTAATTAGTGATAATTTTAAAATAGAGCTTATTTAAAAACATATAACGTATGCAAATATTAAATTTATTATTGACTGTCTTGTCTGGTACTGTCTTGAATAGTTTCTTAATAGGTTAACTTTCTAAAATAGGTACTTATAGTTTATTAATATATTAAGGTTAATGAAAACATTGTGTTAAAAATAATTTTAATCAAATTTGAAAAAAAACTTTTTTATTCAGTAGTAATTTTAAATTTCATATTATATTAATGAGAAACTGTTATCTGTTAAATTTCAGATTCCAATTAAATCATGTAAAAGTTATGAGTTTCGAGGAAGCATTATATATAGATGTGAATGTATCAAAAGAAATGGTCTACAAGACAGATGTATGGTATGGGATTGTATGGGTAGACCAGAATGTATGACAAAATTATACCCTGTTTGTATGCCTGGCCGCAATGCCTTGCTGAAATTAACAGATTTAGGAGATATGGAAATTGCTTTAAGAAAATTTTATTGTGCTGATCAAGCAAGAGAAGCTGCATTAGCTGCATATTGTAGATTGGCGTGTAATAATACTGCAGAAGGATTTTATTCTTCAACTAAGAAGCCAATATGTTTAAACAATATGATTTGTAAACCTTCATGTGTCGAACTACCATTCTGTTTACCCTCTATTACTCCTTGTACACCGGCTTCTGTTTACAATATTTGTGTTCCATGTCCACCAGCATGTCCATCACCATGTCCACCATCATGTCTACCAATATGTTCACCACCATGTCCACCATCATGTCTACCAATATGTTCACCACCATGTCCACCACCATGTCCACCACCGTGTCCACCATCATGTCCACCAATATGTTCACCACCGTGTCCACCACCGTATCCACCACCGTGTCCACCATCATATCCATGTTCATCACCATATCATTGTTCACTTGTTTAGCACCATGTCCACCACCATTATGTTCGTCATTTTATCCACCATGTCCACCACCATTATGTTTATCAAAGTGTCCACCATATCTACCAATATGCCCATTATCATGTTAACTAAAATGTGTATTCTATTTTCTATTTTGTGTAATAAGTTGTTTATGACAGTATTTATCTGTTATTTTATATGTTCGTAACATATAAATTCTTTATTCTATACATTTTTCATTCATCATTTTGTTATAAATTTATTTTACTGTGTATATTTTACATCTGACTTTGTAATATTTTTTAAAATATTTTTATAATATTATGCAAATAAAACAGTTATTTGTATATGTAAGTTATTTGAAAATTTTATATGTACTTTCTATTATTTTGTATACTTTATATTATTTTGTATATTTTAGAGTATATATAAATAAATAATGTATGTTATAAAAATTTCGATAAATATAATAATAAAATATATTTGAATAATAAGTGAATTATTTTATGTGATAATTTTGATTTTTTATTATATGTAGATCATAAGGTTATATAAATTTCAGTATAGTAATAATGTGTTATTAATTAGATGATGGATATTGTTCTGGATGTCGAGATTGTAAATATTTTGCTGGTAAGCAATTAGGTCATGGTTTGCGAAGATATTTAGATTGCGTTTGGCATTGATTTAGTGGACAGGAGTCTTGGAGATCATCTCTGTGAACACAATGACATCTTGTAAATAGAATGCCAGATCGCATTTCAGGAAATTGTAAATGTGCTAAAATAAAAATTAATATTTTTATTATATGTGAGAACCAAATTACATTGAAGTCATCGGTATGGGTTTTCACCACTAATACCAGTTTTGATCAACAGTAGCAGCTGGTCAATAATGGCAGCAATAACAACATCCAAGAAACATCCATATATATACATATATATATTAGAACTGGGGAAAATACAGGGTGTTCATAAAGTCTCTTTACAATTTCAAAAATTTATTACAAAGGCAAATGAAAAGATAAGTTTATTAATTTAAGTTTTTTTTGCCTCATTTAATACTCTCTCTGAGTATCATTAGTTGCACGAAGCACATCAAGATAGTACTCGATTTCTTGCCATGTTTGCTGTAGCATACAACAGTAGCAATGGCATCAGTGATCCTCTGCTTTTAATTAGTAATGTCCCACCTTTATTTACCTTTGTTCGATACACGATATTTTTAATGTAACCCCATAGAAAGTTGAGGGGAGTGATACCTGTGAACAAGATGGTCAGGGAATTGGGCCACTTTTTCCAATCCACCGATCTGGAAATGTTTCATTTAGGAATCCACGAACATGCAGTCCCGAATGGGACTGATGGTAGTGCACATCTTGCTGGAAAATGATGGTTGGTTGAAGGTCGGAAGAATGTAGTTGTAGTGCCACGTATTCAGTCAAAAGGTTAAGATTAACGTTTGCAGTAATTGATGTCTCATCGAACAAAAACGGACCAATGATTTGATTGCACATGATCTCACCATTCACTTTTGTCTATCTCGTTGAAGTTTCCTAGTTACATGAAAGTTTTCTGATCCTCAGAGTCTCACTCATTATGTATCGCGTATCGAACAAAGGTAAGGGACATCATTAATCTAAAGCAGAGGCTCACTGATGCCATTGTTACCGTTGTATGCTACAGCGAACATGACAAGAAATCGAGTACTGTCTTGATGTGCTTTGTGCAACTAATGGTGCCCATATAAAGCTATATTAAATAAGGCAAAAATATATATACGTTTCATTTTATAATAGTTTCCACTTATTTGTCTTGTTATTTGCCTTGTAATAAATTTTTGAAATTGTAAAGAAACTTTATGGACACTCTACATGTATATTAGAATCTCGTTTATATGAATCAATTATATAATACTAAATGTCAGGTATACGAATTTATAATTGATTAATTTTTGTTATCCGAACTCCTGTTCGGAAATTATCAAAACAAGAGCTAGTGAGCTAGCCAGTGACTTTCTGTTATTCGAACTTGTCAATTGTTCAAATAACCTTGGCTTCTTCGTTCAGATGAACGAGGTTCTGTAACATTTGAAATAGATAATTAAAAATACTAAATATTTGTAATATTTTTAAATAACAAATATTAAGTATTTGTATACTCTATAAAGTATTCAAAATAAAATATTTCTTATACATTTTATACACAAAATGATCCATTTAAGTGAGGCTGTCTAAATATCTTTTTGAATTGTGATGATACAAAAAATATTGTTCATCTAATATGAATGGTTAGTTAACTGGAATATCTTTTTAAGAAGTTTTCTTTTTTCGGAGTTTTCAAAGTCATTAATAATTTTTTTTTCATATTATATTCTTGTAATGGTGTTCAAAAATTAAAGTTTTTCTTTTAAGGAATGATCACTTTCATATTGTTGCAAATTAGGGGTGTGCGGGTACCCGAAATTTCGGGTACCCGACTGTTCGGGTCGGGCTTTCACGAAGTCGGGCGGGCTCGGGCGGGTAGCCCGAAAACTTCGGGTAGTCCGAAAATTTCGGATAGCCCGACTATTTCGGGTAGTGCATCTACTTCGGATCGAGTTGGAAAAAGTTCAAATGGGATATGATATGCAGTATATTGCGTTATCGAAATCAATTATTCATAATATTTAATAAACATATACATATTTTTTTCTTTAAATGTAATAATATTTATTCTAAATGATAATACAAAAAAGATAATTGTTCTACATTTTGTGATAGTAATTTCGCTCGAGTTGGTGTTATAATATTTACAGATAAGGAAAATAATCTTTTCTCTCGTAGTATCAGTGGCAGGTAGAGCAAGAAATTTTTTTGCAGCTGAAGACAATAGTGGGAATCTGGCTGTATTGCATTTCCACCAACTAATGTCTATATTTCTAGCACTAAAACCATCGACGAAATACATACAGTGACTCTTATTAATATCTGGACATCATGCTATTCAAAATATTGTTGTGGACTTCGATCGTTTATAATAGTAAGTTTGGATTAATTTTTTAATAATATATTAGAACATTCATTATAGTTTATAGTAACATAAAGTTTATTTATTTATTGCACATCCTTTTCTTAATATCAAACAATAAACTGAATTATGTCGAAATATAGTGTGGCATAAATATTCGGACATTTAAAGAACTATAATATTTAAACCTGAAAATTGTTAACATAAACAATAATTAATATTTTGTTGGGTCTTAATTCTCTTAACTTCAATTACATATCGCAGACGTCTAGGCATATTTCCAGTAATTTTCTTTAAGTCATTGAGCGGGATATTCTTCCGTTCTTCGATTAATCGTTGTTTTAACTCGTCTTTCGATTTATTGACGTATGACAATTAGTGATTTTTCACTGAGAAAAAGGAAACGTATCGAGAAATCGGTCATCTTTTAAAATTAAGTAAAAGAGTACCGTGGCTTATATTGTACGGTGATACAATGATGAAGACCGAATTGAATCAATTTCTCAGAAAGGTCGGCCACGAAAACTTAACGACCGAGACAAACGCATTATTCTAAGAAAAATAAAAGTGAATCCTAGTTTAAGTACTCCTAAGTTAATTTCAGAAGTATATTTATTAATGCGAACTACATTGGATAATATTAGGAGACAGTTGGATATGTTTCGCCAATCATTTATTGTATAACATTTACTGGTTTCTGCCTCTGTACATATTACTGAATTAATTACATCACTATGCTTATACTTTAAATGACGACCAAGGGAACTCGTATTGCTGTACTTGTTGTAATCGAACTAATCGTAACATCTATTGGTCATGTGAGGGAGTACTATGTACATAGTCTTTTGTTTCTCCGATGTCCTGATTGGTATACATATTCAGTAAATTCAGTTTGGTCTAAAGACATTCTTGTTTCGTCAGCGGAGCTGTACAGACATATTGAACATTCGTGTAAAGTCTACAAGTGTTACTTTATTATAAATAAAATTATACAACAACACTTCATTTTAATTTTTTGTTGACATATTTTACATTGTGTCATCATATAATCATATTTTCATGTGGATTAATTTTTGCAGAATGCTGCCATTCATTACTTCTATACGTTTTCGTACAACATTCACACCAGATGCGTTGGCAATATCTTCGGTGCTATCACTATCACGCATACCTGCGTATAATATATAATACGTTTTAAAAATAAACTCCAGAAAATTTTGATCGCGTTACTATTTACATATATTCGTAGTTAACCCTTTGCCAGTCCCGCAAATTTGACGAAATCGGTCCAAAAAATGCTTACGTCTTTTTTCCATAAATTGGTTGATTATTGTGAGCGAACGTTAATCAGGCCGCCTGTTCCTAGGCGTTGGAAGACTTCCTCGCCTATTTCGTAGAAGAGTCCACGACCATGGGCCGATTCCGAGGCATAAACCTAGGAGCTAGGGTATCCGGACGAGGGTTGAACCGAGGAAGGTACGAACTGAAGCACGAAGCCAGGCGACATTCCTTCGGCAAACTCCAAATTACTATTGCACTGCAAAATAATAACAAAAATGAACACTGAACACAATACTCTTCGATGTAACTTGCAAAACGACACTTTCACGAGAAGAAGTTTTCAAGTCAGAGAACCAGAGAACGATACATTTCAAAGCCTTTATCAAATGTTTATATAATATTTTCTTCTTCTCTTTCTTAGTATATCTTCGCTTTCTCAGTATATATAAATGCTCTTACCATACTACAAAATAAGCATGGCAAGAGCTATATATTTCTGGAAGAGACCACTTATAGACCATATAAGTGGTCTGTTCATGTAGTCCTGTGAAAAAAGAATCCTCATCGATGTAGTGTTTCTATCTGAGCTCGGGCGTGAAAGAAAAGAAGAAAATATTGTATAAACATTTGAAAAAGGCTTTGAAATGTATCGTTCTTTAGTTTTCTGACTTGAAAACTTCTTCTCAGTCGTGAAAGTGTCGCTTTGCAAGTCACATCGGAGAGTATTGTGTTCATTTCTGTGATCATTTCTATTTTTGTTAGCATTATTTTGCAGTGCAATAGTAATTTGGAATGTTGTTACAAATAAAAAATTCGTTTACCACTTAAATCCCCATTTTACATCAAAATAAAATAAACAACGAATTTATGGAAAAAAACAGGTAAGCATTTTTTGGACCGATTTCGTCAAATTTGCGGGACTAACTACGAATATATGTAAATAGTAACGCGATCAAAATTTTCTGGAATTTATTTTTAAAACTTATTATATATTATACGCAGTACAGATATATGCGATAGTGATAGCCTTGAAGATCTCGTCGACGCATCTGGTATGAATGTTGTGCGACGAAAACAGCATGGAAGCAATGTATGGCAGCATTTTGAAAAAATTAAGCCACATGAAACACAATGTAAAATATGTCAACAGAAAATTAAAATAAAGTATAGCAACACGAGTTCCCTTGGTCGTCATTTGAAGTATACACATAGTAATGTAATTAACTTAGTAACATGTACAGAGGCAGAGGCTAGTAACAACCAACAGCAGAATATAACATATTTGGACAAAAATTCAAAAAGATCTAGGGAGTTTACGAAGGCTATTGCTAGCATGATGGCATTAGATTTACAACCTTATAGTTTAGTTGAAGGCTGTGGATTTCGAAAGTTAATGAAGATAGCAGAACCACTATACAAAATACCCTCGCGAACTACATTTTCACGTGAAATAATTCCAAAACTGTATGAAAAGATAAAACAAACTCTGAAGGACAAAATATCTATAGACTTGAAAGAAGGTAAATTATACTTTTCTTTAGCATTATTTCATTAAGCATTATTTTTTGATATTATTTTTTTATATGTATCTTCTAACTGTAATTTTCTAACAGGGAATACCACTGTAGCATTTACTACTGACGGCTGGACGTCAAGAGCCGTACAAAGTTATTTATCTCTAATTATACACTATATAAATAAAAATTTTGAACTTTGCCATTATATGTTAAATTTAAAACAGTGCTTCCGGAGAAACATACGTATAAATATATTCAAAACACTATATTACACCGTTTACAACTATGGGATATACATATTGAGACGCCAGTCTTTATCACTACAGATAATGGACGAAATATAGTTAAAGCCATCGATAATTATAATAAATAGAGCAGAATTCCTTGTTTTGCCCATTGTCTACAATTGTTAAGCAAGGTTTAAAGAATTTTGAATTATATGATAATCTCTGGAAAAAGTGCAAGGAAATAGTTACGTTCTTTTCACGCTCCACAGCCGCAAATCACAAGCTTATAATTGCACAAAAATCCATCAACGAACAACAAGAACCACTGAAATTAATACAGGATATAGATACAAGATGGAATTCAACATACGAAATATTTAAACGGTTCATTCTTTTGCAAACAACACTAAATATAGTACTGTGTGAAGATAATATGCCGGATAATTTAGATTCAGTAGAGTGGAATTTTATTATAGCAATAACAGATGTCTTGAAACCTATTAACACGGGATTACCCACGTGGGTAATCCCGGGTTAAAGATGTTACAGAAAAAATGAGTGGCGAAATATATCCAACTGTCTCCCAATATTACCCAATGTATTTCGCATTAATAAATATACTTCAACCACAGCCAACAGCAATTATACTGATAAGAGATATGAGCAATAGTATTCGCGAAGTATTAAAGGTTCGTTCAATTATTTATTTTTAGTTACACAAGAAAGACGAAAGAAATCATATTAAATTACGTAATTTTATTTTTAGGAACGATTCGAGCCTATTGTACACAATAATAACCTGTACTTCAATACCATGTTATTGGATCCTCGTTTTAAGGATTATTTATTACCGACAGAAGAAAGACATCAAGCAATAGAAACATTAAGTGCAACTATTTCAGATATTTACAAGGAAACATCATATTCACATGAAAACATATTAGACAAACGCGATACCAGAAAAAGTAGTAAGTTTATATAACAATAAATATAATTTTTCTATTATTTAAATGTTTCTTTATTTTATATTATCATTTAGAATAAATATTATTACATTTAAAGAAAAAAATATATATATGTTTATTAAATATTATGAATAATTGACTTCGATAACGCAGTATAATCTCTATCCTATCCAAAGTTAGGCATCGAACGAATAAAATACTGTCAAATTTATTCGTAAATAACGGATAACGATTTTATTCGAGCAAAAATTATCCGTTCCTTACGAGTAACAATTTTATTCGAAGAAAAATTATTCGAACACACAGTTGGGCATTATTCGAATAAAATTTTATTTAAAATATTTACTGAAATAATATAAAGAAAAAGAGTCAGGAGTACATTTTTTTTCAATTTTGGTTTATTTAATAAATTTTCTTTGCTTTTAACATTTAATAAAGCGGAATCTACTTCAACCGACCAACATTTACGAACAAATGATAACGTAGAAATTTTTGTACTACAATTTTTTATAAATAATAGAAATGATTACATATATCTGAACGTATATCCCATAATTAAAAATATATTTTTGAAATATAACACTCCTTCGCCATCTTCTGCTCCAGTAAAACGTTGATTTTCATTTGCAACGACAACAAACTCGCCTAGAGTAAACAGATTAATTAACAAAATGTTCGAACAAAAAATTATACTAAAGGCAAATTTATTAAATAAACAAAATTGTGAAGAAAGGACTCCTGATTCTTTTTCTTTACATTATTTAAGTAAATATTTCGAATAAAATGTTATTCGAAGAATTTATTCGAAATGTTATTCGAATAATGCCCATCTCTGATCCTGTCCCCCTTGAACTTTTTCCAACTCGATTCGAAATCATCTGGCTACCCGAAATTATCGGGTTACCCGAAATCTTCGGGCTACCCGCCCGAGCCCGCCCGATTTTATGCGAGCCCGACCCGAAATTTCGGGTACCCGCACACCCGTAATAGTTACATATCGTGATCAATCTAAACAACAGGCTCGCGTTGCGTGGTACCCAAATGAACAACCAATTTTCTTAATTATTTCCTCAAAGATCGATGCACTTTCATCTCTTAATCGTTGTTTTAAACCTTGAATATTGGCTCTTCTTTAGAGAAAATTTATAATCAGTAATCATATTAAATTATCTTCTGCTTTTAATTCTACAACATCAAATGAAATTTTTCGGTATACAACATCCAGATATCGTCAGATTTTTATGTCTTATTCTGTATATAATGTTTTCAACTTGAAATATATAGAAATCTTTCTTATATTAAATACACTTAATGCATTAACAGTTGAATCATAAAGGACAGTACGTAGAAAAATGGAAAATTGCATCAGATATTTGATCTATTTTTAATAAAAGTATATATATATATATATATATATATATATATATATATATATATATATACACGTAAACAAATTTCGCGTTAATGTTGAAAAAGCTTAAAAGACAGAAATATTTAAGTTTAAAATTAAATATTTTCGGGTAACCTGATAATAAATGAAAATAAACATGATTGACAGAAATATGAATTGAAAAGACATTAATTTTATTAGTAAGTTATGAATTTTTATTAAATTTTTGGTTTTTGCGAATGACATTTGTAATGAATTTTTCTCCGTAATTTCACTTGATACATATGTAGGAATGTTATGTAACCATGTTTCAGTTTGTGATAGTGCGTGTGTGCTTGTCAAGAAATCTGTTGCTTCTATAGTTGCGTGGATTTTCCTTCTTTCATTTGCAACTGACCTTTGTGTTGATTTAGATGACTCACCTGTTGCCATTTCAACATCGTTGACGGTAGCATTCGGTAATTTGTAGTTGTGTATTCGTTTCTTATTTTGGAAATTTTTAATTGCATAGACGGCATTGTTGGCTCGGTTCCCGTACCGTTAACTCGGGATTACCCACGTGAGGGTCTAGTCGCCGGGATGTACCTGCGCTAGACCCCCAGGTGGGTAATCCCGGGTTAAGATACACAGGCACGAATTCACGCCACTATAGCCAAGCGGTTGATTTGGATGTACTTCTATGTATTTAAAACACACAACTATTCACTGCATATATATACCAATGACTTGCGAGTAATATAAACACACGTGTTGTCTCTACGACTGCTTAACGAGGACTGAATGACGTATTATATAGAACACATGATAGCTGTACGGCGAAAGTTGATTCAGCACATTAAAAACAGACTAAAAAAGAAAAGTTCATGGAAACATGCTCATGTTTTCGAATCACAGTTTACTTTAATAATCTTATTATACCAACGTCGGTGTGATGAAACTGAAAGCTAGATATTGATAGATAATCTAGTAAATGGATAGGTCGTCTTAATCCAACTTCTTGACTAGTTTGATCTCCGCAGTTAAATCCTTTTGACTATTATGGAAATATTTATAAAACATTAGTTGAAAATATTGAAATATTTTGTCAACATATAATTCAAAGCTGTTACCAAATTCGTCCAATAATCTCGTCTGTTTGAACAAGTTCAACAGTTCATAATTGCGACATATACATTGTATTAAAGCTGAAGTGTTCACTTCAAGCAATTTCTCTGTAATAACATGTAAGCAAATATAAAATGTGCCGTAACTCAAAAATGGGGTCATATGTATATATAAACGTTTCTCCTTACGTTAGTGTGTTGAATCATACTCTACATGTTCTGAATCACCCTGTATATATAATATTTGAATAGGCTGATTCATGTACAATTGATTGACCTACATATATTTCTTGCAGACAAAGTTAATACTGTATATGTGTATTGTATCCCAACACATCTTATGTCGTTAATAAATTGCTCTATTTAAATTTTTGGTCATTTTCGTAATACATTTATTATGTTATAATTAAGGTATAATTTTAAGCATTTATTGTCTTAAATTTCTTAAGAGAAAATTCAACCTCGTGAAGAACTGTTTGAAAATTGTTCGCTAAGTTTAGAGTTGATTTCGATCTTAAAGACCAAGAATGCTCGAGTAGATCTCTATCACTGATGATAACCAAATCAAGACACTGATCAAAAATAACCGACGCCTCACGGCACGGGAATTAGCAGAAATATTAAAAATATCGAAAACCACCGTCCATTTAGTGAAGTTTGGTTATCTAAATCGATATAATGTATGAATTTCGCACAATTTGACCGAGAAAAGTTTAATGGATCGCATCTTCATTTGTGACTTACTGCACGCAATGAAAATGCACCGTTTTTGAAGCAGTTAGTGATGGGCGACGAAAAATAGATTATTTGCAACAATGTTGAGCAAAAAAGATCCTGGGGTAAGCGAAATGAACCACCATTAGCAACCCTCAAACCGGTCTGAAGAAAATTATGCTCTGTGTTTGGTGGGATTGGAAAAGAATTCTGTATTATGAGATCAAACGGGTTTGATTAGTCGATAAATTCAGGTAAATACTGCTCGCAACTAAACGAATTAAAGATATAGATTCAGGAAAAACGTCCAGAATTAGCTAATGGAAAGAACGTCGTATTCCATCAGGATAATGACAGACCTTATGTCTCTGACTACCCGACAGAGATTGTTAGAGCTTGGTAGGGATGTGCTGCTTCATTTGCCATATTCACCAGATATTGCACCTTCAGACTCTTATACTTATTTAGATCTTTGTGAAGAGACTAAATTCTCTTAGCGACATCTTCAATTCTTCGGTCGATATAAAAAACTAGCTTAGTTTTTCACTGAGAAACTTGAGAAGTTCTCCACCTTCAAATTGCATGAAAGATACAAAAAGGTTGTAGAACAAAATGGTAAATACATAAATGAATAAATAAACATCAACACATAAATATATAAATATATAAATTTTCCTTAATAATCGGTACGAACTTTCCAGACAATAGACATAATTTCTTCTACGGAACATTTAATTTTTGATATAATCTTCGAATTTTTCTTTCATATTTTCAAGAACCAGATGAGAATAAAGAAATTAATGTACATGCAGTTAGATTAAAACTTAAAGTTAAAGTGCAGTTGAATACTTAAAGCAAACATGTTGTTCGTTATAACTTTCATTCGTTCATTCGAAACATCGTTCATTATTGGATACTCTACTGTAATTTGATAGTTGAAGTGGTAAAAACGTAAACTATTAAATATTATTTTTAAAAAATAGAATAATTTAAAGTTGTGTGTAAGTATATGAAAAGTATCACAAGAGGTAATAAAAAGAGGTAAATACTCTAAAATTATAATCTGGTAGTGGAACAAAACTCTATTTTTTTACTCGATGAATTCAATCAAAATAATGCTCCTTTAATGTTTTAAAATATTAATTTGCTTTTCTGAAAAACTAAGTTATTCGAGTCATATCATTATTGAAACGAATGTGCGAAATATCTTTCTATTGAAATAATTATGATTTCGTGTATATAATCATATGCAATAATACACAATTAATAATACAGAGTTAATAATATATTGACAATAAATTTATTTCGAGCAGAAATAAGTAAATCGATGGAAATGAGTAAATTGTTTGTACGGGCGCTTGTATTT